GTAATTTTCCGAAACGGAAGTGAAAGTAATTTTCCGAAACGGAAGTGAAAGTAATTTTCCGAAACGGAAGTGAAAGTTAAGTTTCGAAAATTCAAAACAAATTAAAAATTCAAAAATTACGAGTCAGATGTTAGTTATCTGGGAGTCGTTGTCTGATGGTGCTTATCTGGGAGTGGTTATCTGATAGTGCTTATATGGGAGTGGCTGTTTGATGGTGCTTATCTGGGAGTGGTTGTCTGATGATGCTTATCTGGGAGTGGTTGTCTGATGGTGCTTATCTGGGAATGGTTGTCTGATGGTGCTTATCTGGGAGTGGCTGTTTGATAGTGCTTATCTGGGAATGGTTGTCTGATGGTGCTTATCTGGGAGTGGCTGTTTGATAGTGCTTATCTGGGAGTGGTTGTCTGATGGTGCTTATCTGGGAGTGGCTGTTTGATAGTGCTTATCTGGGAGTGGTTGTCTGATGGTGCTTATCTGGGAGTGGTTGTCTGATGGTGCTTATCTGGGAGTGGTTGTCTGATGGTGCTTATCTGGGAGTGGTTGTCTGATGGTGCTTATCTGGGAGTGGTTGTCTGATAGTGCTTATCAGGGAGTGGTTGTCTGATGGTGCTTATATGGGAGTGGTTGTCTGATGGTGCTTATCTGGGAGTGGCTGTTTGATGGTGCTTATCTGGGAGTGGTTGTCTGATTGTGCTTATCTGGGAGTGGTTGTCTGATGGTGCTTATCTGGGAGTGCACAGTGGGCCAGGAATTTAAAAAAGTGGCCGTTAAGGCAGTGCCGCTGTTTGGCTTAACTAGTATACCATCTTACTCTTTGTAACCAACTTGACCTTGGTGTAAAATATTAAGGCACAGGTTCAAGCCAATCGGATAAACGAAGCGGTTAAAATTTGTATAATACATTACGGAGATAGGGATTTTACATCTTCTTACATTCCCGCCCATTCCCGTGCATCTATGACTAACTACTGGCGCCATTAATTAGGTAATACTGGTGGGATGATACACTGCTGCGACCAGCTGCGACCATCAAACTTTATTAAAACCACACCCACTTTTAGTCATTAAAGTTAAAAAAGTCAAATTTAGGTTGAATTATTTTTACTCAAATATGCTTTAAGTATACTCAATCATTGGGCTTTCTCAGCAAGCTGAGGTGGTAGCAGGATAATATCTTGGCTTTAAAAACCACACCCTCTATAGTAGAGGAATTTAAATTAAACATTTCTTGCTGAGAGGCTTAATGGCCGATCTTGTCATGCTTAACAACATTAACAATTGAAATTCGGATTACTTTTCAAATTGTTAAGGGATTTTTAATTTTTTTACTATTTGGGAAACCTTATGTCAATGGGCGAAATATATATGTCCAGATTTTTTAAATTCGACCACACCCCCTCCAAATTAAGGTTACAAGGTCAAAGAAATTGTAAAATATAATTAATGAATACCGCCAAATTTCAAACGCTAAAAATCGAACTGCCGATCGAAAAACTATCTCGACACCCTGGTCACTACCGGCAATGTTCAAATAGTCATATGCCACACCCCTAGTGGGTGTGGCCCTCTGCGACTTTTCGATTTTAACGGAACCATGTCATGTGATATATCATTTTTTTCAGCTCGACAAGGGGGTTTCTACGGAATACCTAAAATTGGGAAACCGCTCCCCTAGTAGGTGTGGTTCTCGGAAAATTTTCGATTTTAATAAAACCATGCGATGTGTTATGTCATGTTCTCAGCTCGACGAGAGGATCTCGACAGAATAATATAAATTTAAAAACCACACCCCCAGTGGGTGTGGCGTTCAGCCACTGAAAGTAGATGATTTTTTCCGATTTAAATTTTTCCCACACCGAAATAGCACCACCTGTATTTTTCCGTCTCCACGAAGGCTCGGGTTTCCGTTTGTGGCGGTTTTGAGTGCATTTTTAGCTCAAATATAAATTTGTCAAAAAGTTGTATGTTTTGTAATTTTAACGCTACATCAAAACCGAAAGAACTAAAACATTTTTTTTCTCAAAAAGTACTAAAAATAAGATTATAAAAATACGCTTCTAAAAATTTAAAACTTTACATACTATTTCGGAATTTTGAATAATGCAACAAGGAATTGTGAAAAACTAAATTTTTTGAACGTGGGTTTTTCTTAATTTACATAATGCAATTCTAATTATTTTGTCAAAGTCCCCTCATTTAGTTAAGAGAAATGATCTATTACACGACATGGTTTAATTAAATTCGAAAAGTCGCTGAACGCTGATTTTGAACCTCCTTCGCTGAACCCCCTTGTATAGCTGAGAAAAATGGTATAACACATGGCATGGTTTTATTAAACTCGAAAGTTTTCTGAAAACCACACCCACTGGGGGTGCGGTTTCCCAATTTTAGATACTCCGTCGAAACCCCCTGGTCGAGCTGGGAAAAATGATATATTACATGACATGATTCCGTTAAAATCGACTTTGCTTGGAGCCACACCCACTGGGGGTGTGGTGTCAATATTTTAATGATTCTGTCGAGATCCCCTCGTCGAGCTGAGAAGAATGATGTATCATATGACATGGTTTCATTAAAATCGAAAAGTCGCCGAGGGCCACACCCACTGGGGGTGTGGCAGGTGACTATTAAAAATTACCTCATATAATATATGCTCTAGGTTATTGTTGCACACCAAAATCTAATTTTTATTTCTTCAAATTCGGCTCATATATATTTTTGGCCAAAATTTATTAAATCTGGCCCACTGTGGAGTGGTTGCCTGATGGTGCTTATCTGGGAGTGGTTGTCTGATGGTGCTTATCTGGGAGTGGTTGTCTGATGGTGCTTATATGGGAGTGGTTGTCTGATGGTGCTTATCTGGGAGTGGTTGTCTGATTGTGCTTATCTGGGAGTGGTTGTCTGATGGTGCTTATCTGGGAGTGGTTGCCTGATGGTGCTTATCTGGGAGTGGTTGTCTGATGGAGCTTATCTGGGAGGGTTGTCTGATGGTGCTTATATGGGAGTGGTTGTCTGATGGTGCTTATCTGGGAGTGGTTGTCTGATTGTGCTTATCTGGGAGTGGTTGTCTGATGGTGCTTATTTGGGAGTGGTTGTTTGATGGTGCTTATCTAGGAGTGGTTGTCTAATAGTAGCTATGCTGGGTGGTTATTTCACTGCGAAGTGAAGTGGAAATTAGTTAGATTCAGAGTTTCGTCACTTCTGTGGAAGTGAAGTGGAAGTGAGTTCATGGATCCAGACTTTTGTCAGTTCTGTGGAATTGAAGTGGAAATGAGTTCATGGATCCATAGTTTCGTGACTTCTACAACCAACAATTCTGTACGAGTTTGTCACTCCACTGCGGAGTGGAGTGGGAGTCAGACAGGAGTACTCGGAATTTGTCACTCCACTGCGGAGTGGAGTGGAAGTGGAGTGGGAGTCAGACACGAGCACACAGAAATGTCACTCCACCACTTATCTTTTACTTCCGTTGCCGACAGATATTTCCAGCTCTTATTTTCGCTCGCCCGGCGGGAGACGGGCTTATACGCTAGTAGTAAATAAACGTATACCCGACTAAAAATCTGGTTTAGTCATGTATTGACATATGTATGTACTCGGAATTGGTACATGTCATGACTAGTATGTATCAAAATTTTTTGATTTGGTTATAAGTACATACATATAACTTCCAAGAAGATTGGTAGTTGTACATACATACATATCTATCTATGTATTTATGTGTGTAGTTTGTCACTGACTGGTAAATATGTCATTATCACAACATTTGACAATCTGACTGAAATATGTATTAGTTAACAGAAGCTGTTTAGATAAGCATCGAGCTTAGCCCATCTTGCCAGTGTCTAGCTTCAACCGTGGTCCATGAGTCATGCTAACGTGATAAGGAGCATTATCCAATGTGTACACGGAAATTATGAAAATATGCATACATGGGTATATTCATATATGTATGTCAACATACATTCACATGTATACATAATAAAGTATAAACTTTTATTAGGCTGCATTTCGTATGCTCATATGGGGCTGTGCAAATAGCATGTGATCGATTCGAGTGGGGATAGGGGCCAATCCATCTTATCTTTCCCATGTTAATTATTTATAACATGGGACATACATACATACAGGTTACACCATGAGAGTATGAACAAAATTTGACGAAAATCGATTGCATGCTTTACGTACGACCCCTACGCATATATATTTGACACGCATGGGTACATGTGTATACATATATTTACAAAACGTACTTATGTCTTAAGATTAGTCATCCTCTTCAAAGAATTGCAAGCCAGTGGCCGCACTAGCGAGCGTGGATACAGGGAAACTGTTCTCATGGAAATTTTGCTGTGGCGTCGTGCAATGCATTGGTTCCCACGGTCTCGTGGGACTCAAGTACAAAATGATCGACCTTAATGCGACCAAATCAAACCAAAATTCAAAAATTATGGCGTAGATGAACTAAACGCCGATCAATTTTGGATTTGGCAGCATCCGTCCGGCGCCACAAGGCTGTAAGAACAGGAAATCCGATTTATCGGTAGGCGCTTAAAATGCTTCCGATCGGTGGCGTTGATCTCTAAATTATCTATGTATTTTTATCATGCCTTTTCCATCAATGCCAAGATAATTGATTAAATTTATAAATAGTGCTATTCAAATGTTCAATTCATTTTGCCCAATCGGCTAGATTTGAATTTTATTAAATTAAGTATTTCTTAACTTTCCAATCACTGTTTTAAATATCATCCCCATGACCATCTTTTTAAAATGGTGGATTTTTATCTACAAAAATTCCCAACCTTGATAAATAGGCCACATATATACATAAGTACATACGAAAATCCTTGTGAGAGCCGTATCCCTCAGGGGCTTATATAAAATGTCCCCATGGCCCAAACCACCTTCCGCGTCCACTGAAATAAGTTACCCTACAAAATCCTACCCTTCATGTCACCATTTTCTTAAACGAAGTCATTCCTTAACTCCCTGCCTAACTGGGTGGACACATCGCTTCCAAATTCGCTCGAATTTTTTTCCAAAAAATGGAGTTTCATATTTACTACCGTGGTTCACTGCAAGCTTGGACGAAAGTTATCGCAATTTTGCAAATTGTACGGATAAAAAATCTATACATACTATTTTATATATATATTTTACATATATTATTTTTAAAATTATTTTACATTCCTAAAATTTCAAAATTTTTAAATGGGGTTTACACATGTGTCTAACTATTGGTCAGATTTTGGCTGCAATTTCTCTCTACGTTGGCGTCAGTGTTCTCTTTTCTGGTGGTCGTATGGCGCTCGCCCAGGTAACTTTCCCCCTCAACGGAACCACGCCGAGTGATACCCTGCCTCCAACAACCGATTCCTTGGACCATTTCAATTCTGTCCAGCACCAAGCCGTGCGAGACTTGGAACAGAATTTGACTAAACTTTCAAACAGAGTCGGTACGAAAAATATATGTATGTATGTACATATGCCGAATTTTGCAATATTTGAATAATTCCCTAAAATCAGGACTCAATTTGCAGGTGCGATATTAATCGAGGTCGGCATTTACATGATTCTAGTTCGAGTCGTCACCTTGGTCTTGTCCGTAATTTTGTTTCACGGGGTAGCAAACGTAAGAATGCAGTCTTTGAAATATATGTGCATAGTGTTAAAATAGTACCAAATGGTATTAGTAATCGCTTGGTAACTCTACGGACAATATGGCATTGATAAGAAATACCGGTATTACGGTATTAAAAAAATAACTGTTGGTAATCTGGTACATATATATTAATGCACGTCCTCCGCATTCATATTGCTACCGCTTGGTATTAAAGGTACACTGGCCCGTTAAAATTTGCTATTGATATTAGAAAACTTTAACACCAAGCTATTACAAAATATGTAATATGTGGCTCCGTATTAATATAATTTTAATACCAAGTGATAGTAACTTTAGTACACAGAAAACAGTACCTGCGTGACAATACCAAATTTCTAATAAGTGTAGTAAAACAAATTGCACAGCCATTCATTTTTTATTTTTTTTGCATTTTTTTGCACTTTTTTATAGCGAATCGCTGACATGTGTCGACCCTGGCTCATCGCTCAAGCCATCTTTCTCTTGCTGGCGACCGTCTTATTTTTCGTGGGATTGACATTCTCCACCTCTGACGAGTGTACCAATTATGCTGGAGCTGCTGGGCTTATCAACAACGCGTACTGCATGTGGGTGGTGTACGCCTTCATAAATGAGTTGCGGGAGGAGGAAGAAGCCAAGCGGCTTGGGAAGGAAAATCATGAAAAAAGGTTGTAATTTTGTGCATTTTCATCTTTAAAAGGGAAATTTGCAGCAATTTATCCTGAACTAATGAGAGATAAGCAAATTTTTAATAAAATTTTTATATAAAGTTAAATAAAGTTTGAGGCACGATTTATGTAAATGATTTGCATCCAATGTCAACTAGATTTACATAGGGATGTACATATGTACATATGTATACGTATGTATATAAATATAATGTTTTTTTATGTGCAATTTTTGGTTAGACTAATTTGTTGCTCATTACTTACATACTACGATTTCAATGCTAGCTACATAAATATAGTCAAATTCTTAAATTTCAAAATTTGAAATTTTTAATAAAATCCAGTTAAATGAGTCATGGAAATTCGCACTTTTGTTAATAAATTATGTACATATACATGCAAACTTTGCATTGCAAAGTGCCTACATCATGACATCATTTCTAAATTATTGCTACTGACAAACAATCGATTTATTTACACGTTTTAATAAAAAGCTCATGAAATTATATATTTTATTTCGCAGTACTTTATCATCCTGTACAAATGTATTACAGTAAATTATGTAAATTATGATTAGGAAACATACGTAGAAAACATGACTTAGATGCCAAAAACTGCATGAGAAATTGATGATTTGCAAATCCAAACAATTGGAAGACCGGAGACCAGATTACTGTAATTGGACAATGCAATTTGCCCATCCATGATAAATATAAATGATTTAAATGTATGTTTGGTCTAGGTTTTTTAATTTACTTAGGTTAATCAAGTTAAAAAACAACGTCAATCAATTTGTACATTTACTATCTTAACCGCAAATCTACAACACATTTATAAACTTGTGCTCTTCTCAACTTCCTAAGTTAACATCATCGCTTTCACTGAATTTTCAAAGGTTAAAATCTAACAAATTTCAAAATTCTATTATTACAATGGGATCGAGTTTTTAATGCTGTGGAGTGTGGAGGAAATATTTACATACATATTTTTAAATGATCGTATCTTTACAATATACAATTCGATATTTTTCGTAGACCTGTAGTTTTTCTCCTCAATAACCAAAAAATGGTCGTTTAAAGACTCTTTCCCACAAAGATGGATAAACTTTTAACCCCGGCCATTGCATATTTCGCCCCACACAAATCATAATTCTTTCCCGTGTCAATTCTCTCAAACGGGTAATTTCATCCTGAATATTTTCCGGAAACGTGTCCACTTGCGCGGAACATACCGGAATGCAATCCTGCACGAATAAACTTTCTTGACTAAAGTGGAATTTATAGTCTTTATTACATTGATCCCAATCCGTGTCAGAGTCCACGTGTGTAACAACCAATACAATGGGCACCTTGCTACGACACATGTCTACATAATATCGACGAAAAATTGCAAATGATGATTTTAAATCGTCACCCTTTTTAACGACAAAAATCAAAACGTGAATTCCATCGTCTTGTGAAATTTCGTACAAAGATTTTCGAAATCTTTCCGCTGCCATGTGTCTGGTTTCAATGAGACCATCGCCAAGACCCGCTGTGTCGTATACTTCTACGAATAAGTCATCGCCACAAGGTAGCCTTACTTTCTGGGTACTTCCGGTACACGGGGCTGCACTGTGAGACACTTTCGCAATATCTTTCCTGGCGAGTAGGTTAAAAATAGAGGTTTTTCCGCTTCCTAGAAATATCGGTACATATAAATTGTAGACTACAATTAAATTTTCAGAATAAAATACGACAATTTATAGTATTTTATTCTGAAAATTTAATAGAATGACTTACAATGGAGATCTCTCAACGCGTGCTGTCCGATTTTGACAAGAGCATTATCAATCGACCATAAATTAATTTATGTATGTATGGGGCTGTCCATAAATTACAAAACTGCATTTTTAATAGATCCAGTAAGGCATTCTGAAGAAACATATTTTCGAATGTTTTAACTGGTGTTAATTTTACATATTAAGGGTTCTGTCGTCGAGAATCTGAATAATTAATTTTATGAATATTGCCTAGATTATGATGATCATTATTTTTGAATGCTTCACATGATAATGAAAAATTTGTATGTATTTGACATGATAATGAAAATCTGAATGTTGACATGATAATGAAGATGAATTTTAGTGTATGACTTTATGTGCCGTAAGACAGACAGAGGTACGGAAATTCAAATTTGTTGCCAGTCAGTTTGGATTTAAGTGGAGATTTGTCCACATCTTATCTCACCTTGTGTAGTTTTTGAACCTTATTGTGACCTCCCAGTGGCGGATAAATAGGGTATGTGGGGTAGGTGTGACATAGGGGCCCCCGCGCAGCCCCCGGGTGCGGAGTGGTGTATATGTATACATATTACTATACTCAAGTTTAGTCAACGAATTTCGAAAAATAAATTTACTGATACTTCGGATAAATTATTATTAGGTTAGTTGCTATTAAGAACTCGCATAACTATTAGTTTTGGAAAACTACAATTAGGTGGTTAGGTATTTATGTATATGTTTTGAAGGTACATACATAATTCGATTACAATTATTTATTGCCGATTTGGAATAAATTTCTCACCGGTCTGTTATAAATTCATAACGGGTCAGTGGTAGACTCAAATATATATCTTCGATTCGATTCTGCATGTCATTGCAACCGAGTTATTTCCAGTGTAGACTATGTAATCTTGGTAGTTGCTTTTTTTTGGTTTCGAACATTTTTTGCAAGCGAGTCCGCAAAATTTTCGCAAACTTTAGTGGCCTAATAATAAATGTGGGGGCCCCTCAACAGAGGGGAGACATTTTTTCGCCAAAAACTGATTTTTTGTATTCTTGAAATATAACGAATATGTCCCAAAAATTATATTTCAAGAAAATTTGGCGATAATAAAGTTTCATATCTGTCAAGGGGCCCCAAAAATTTATTATCAAGCCTAAAGTGTGCGAAAATTTCAGAGGTGGGCAAGATCAAAGTTTTCGGGGATCAACAAAAAAGGTCAACATCAATTTTTGATCCTCGCAAGATAAAGATCAAGATGAAGATAAGTCTGTCGAATACTAAAGATCAAGATCAAATGCCACATCAAGATTATAAGATCAAATCATATGTAAATTCCAACTATGTTGCAGATATTTTATATATATAAACCGATAAATACATACATAGAACTGCGTGTAATGTACATTGTACATACGTGTAGTGTGTACACTACAAATCTAGATAACCAAAATTAATTTTCTAACTAATTTTAGTTATTCAAAGCTGACAGCGTGGACGCTATTATAATTTTGTCTAGTTATATCTATTGGTTAACAGGACGTTTACCGTGATTTTCTAAGTTGCCTTTATACTTCATTTCTTTAAAAATTAAGCAATAGTTGAAGTATCAAATTGTCGCAAATTGTTGACGAGCTAATAATATTCGAATGTAGGCAATAGATCGTCGTTTGAAGAACTGGTTCCATTAATCAGTAAAAAAACTAAACCTCGTATTTTTCGTTTCCTTGAATGTACTTTAATGTAATGGATAAAGAAAATAAGAAATTTTACAAAATTTATGCTTTAGAATGCTACTTTTCATATTTTTAATTTTGATTTTGAATTTACAGATCAAGATCGAAGGTCTTACAGAGCAAGATCAAGATCAAAAGCGAGATCCGGCCATCATAAATCATGATATTATCTAGATCTTTGATCTTTATCTGATATCTGAAATAATGATCTTGCCCACCTCTGGAAAATTTTGCAGAATCGCAAGCAAAAATGGTAAAATAAAAATAATGTTCCCCTCTATATATTAATCGGTGTCTTAATCTAGCTCGCCCAATTGACGCCGAATTCCCCACGGGTCTAGAGAAATTTCATAGCAAGTTAATATTCCCCGCCTATTTTGATCGTTGAATTGGGAATTATTGAGACGATAGTCATCAGTAGTTCGGATTAAAAGTAAAGACAAATAATTTAAGTTCGCTAATAACTTCGGTCATTTGTAAAGCGATACGGTCTGGCTTAATTTTATCTTTTGGAGCGGTGCAACGTAGTGTAGACTGAATGATTTCTTTAAGAAGTTAAAATAGTTCGATTACACTACCGCTATCAAAAAATGTCGCCAATCGGAGTTCTTTATAAGAAAAATCATTTTCCCTATCAAGTCAGCGAGTATAATTTAGTTAAATCGACAAAATGTTCTTGCTGAACATAGTACACAAATTAACAGAAACAAAATATTATAAAATCAAACATACTCTTATTTTATTTGCTGTAAAATCTCGCGGTAAAAAGGTTTCCACCTGGCCCATACAGTTCGCACCCAATTCCATTCAAAGCTTATGGCAACTTAAAACTTTAGACATAGGGTTTTGAATGGAATTGGGTGCGAACTGTGTGGGCCAGGTGGAAACCTTTTTACCGCGAGATTTTATAGCCAAAAAAACAGGAGTAGTTAAAAATTTTAAATATCACAAAAATCTCCCACCTAGGGGCCCCGAGTTGGCTTTATCCGCCACTGTGACCTCCTCAACCCCACCTCCAAAGACTGTGTGGCCTTCTGCCATTGGCCGGTGAGGTTGAGGAGACCTTCCTCTTACCAGGACGTTGGCTTCGGTTTTTGGCAGTGAAATGCCCTTTTAAAGTGAAGTTCAAGTCTTAATAAATTAGTGTCTCTTCAACCTGCAGAACAATAACATGTATTTTCCCCTCGTCTCTCTTAACACTCTAAATTTGTAAGTAAATGAAAAATTGTGTGATTAATAAATGACGCCGACCAAGTAACCACCATTCTGTGACCACACCGCCACTTATTTACGCCTACACGGTCACATTTCGCCCTCGAGTTACACATTAGTCACACACAAACAAAGAAACACATACAGTCCTCGATTTCAAAACTACAGTTTCTGAAAACGGGCGGTTTTGGCACGAAACGTGTTTAAAATTCGCACCCTTTCGCACAAATTTGCGCATTATGAGAAACAAAAAACTACGGGTATGCTTATTTTTTGTGAAGGAAATAAAATTGGTCCCAAGAAAATCTGAGTTTTAAACAAAAGACCTGCATTATGAGCATCGGGAGATCCTGCCTTTTGCAAATTTTATATTACATAATTAAGTAAACTTGTAACACATAGATTGACAAAATCGAGGAGCATACGCTGGGAGACCTCCATTTCTCTTGGTTACCTGGTATTCCCGCTAAAACTGCAGAATATTCCCGGGCCATCCTTCTGGTTTTTGTGGTTGCTGTATTAAGTATTAATATTGTACTAAATATATGTATGTATTTGACCATAAACTATTTACTCCTATCACAATAAAATGATCAATTTAATTATGTATTACAATAAAATTTTACCTGTAATTAATTTATCTGTGGCTGTGGATCATAAATAACTCATGAAAAATGCTTGCAGCCAACTAATAATTTCTGTACCTTATCGTTTTGTTTTTATGAAGCAAGAAATTGGGTCAGGCCGGTGATTAACCACATATAAAATATTCAAACATGAATATTTATATTTCCTGGAGTGCCGTCTTTTTAAGTTTACTTAAGTTTTTTTATTTGTGTTACATAAATGTGTAAATATGTGGGTATATTAGAAATGTAAGATAATGGAGGTAATACATAGATTCTAATACTCGATAATAATTCTAATAATATTTCAAAGAGTAAATTACTTACGAGTTCGCGTCATTTGCGACGTTAACAGAAAAGCAAAGTCGCCAACAATTTTGGCTTAAAAAATTCGCTTACGAACATGTGTAATTAGTTCGCAATTTTATGTCTTGCTGCGAAAACTCGTAGTGAACACCCCCAAGAATGAGGTAGGAAGTCCACATTAAAGTAAATACTATCCCTATAAACAACCTGTTTATTTATTCGCCCATTGTGTATCTACACATGTACATATGTACACATCCAAAACTGTCAAAATGCATTATTTACATACATATTTAAACAAACTGTTTCATACTCCAACTTATTTTTGTCCAGAGTATTCATGTCAACGGTTAACCATTCTAAGAATCCGGTCCAAATTAGTATTACACAAAAGGAAAGGACGCATATTTAAGTACACTCTTGCAAATATTTTCCTTCCATTGAAAAGCAAATGCACTCTAAATAAATTCTATATAAATTAAACTACATTAAATCCAGAGTACCGTTAACCGGATAACAAGTAAAGTTTACTTTGGATTTAGTGTATGTTACTTAATCTATGTGGATTTCAGAGCCAAATCAATTTTCAACATTATTTTTAAGAGTGAAGTAAGTATTGCATGTGCAAATAAGCCAAAAAATAAAATAGGTACTCTTCACGGAATACGTTGCAGTTTGATATTGCCAATTGAACCACGGAGACGATAAAAAATATATTCTATATTTTTTCACACATTTCTTCCTTCCTTAACGTATGTTTGCATAATGCCTCACGTCTTAATTTGTGGATTACCTGGTAAGATTAGTAAGAGTTGGGATGCAGTTAATAATAATTCTTAATTTATATCAATGAAAAAACAATTAGTTAATCACATTTCCCTACGTCAGATATTTATTTTCAACATTTCTAAATCCATATTCATGCCAAATTTGAGCTTCGAAAATTTTGCAATTAATTCCTTCCAGATTTACCCATACCGTGCAATGCTATAAAGTACTTTTTCCAATTATGTAATCTTGACTAATCAACATCACTCTTTTTTATCCAGCATCGGGAAAACGAAGTCTGAAAAATTTGTTAGAATGCGTCCCAAATTCTGCAATATCCTGCGAATTAATGCCGATTGGACAACTTAAGCAAACTTTGACCAACCTAGACCCTATTATCCCCTCCTGTATCATCTACATACTACGCCGCGGCCGGATTACTGATGCCATGGACCATTTCGCAGTGTCAGATAGAAACTACATATTCAACACGACCCTTCCCACCATTCTGTTTATTAGTCATTGTGATTACCCAAGTCATTACGGATGGTGGGAAGAAAATAAGATTTTCGCCGCAAAATTCGGCATTATCCCAACCATCCCAGTAATCCTTGGTTCGCTTCGCAATCCAGACCAGTGTCGGCAAATTGAACAAGGCTCCGTGGCCGCGGTACGGGCAGAGACAAAACGAAAATTAATTGACGCCATCCGAACGAATTCGGGGACGGAATGGATTCCTCCAATGCAAAATCATCTAAGGAATAAGTGGAAATTTTGGGAAAGGTATTCATGCACACAAATAGGTTTGGGATTGTGTATCTTATGTTTCCTATTTTTATTCGTGTTTATAGTTTATATTTACTTTTCAACTCCGGATAGTAATAGAGAAACAACGGAGATTCACATTATTTCGGAGAACGATACTTTTACAATTGTTGCTTACTTAAACGATTCCAAAATTTGAAAATCAATCCCTTTCTTTTTCAGGCAATTCCCAGCATCATTTTTATATATTCGTAACCTCCTGCTACACTGGAAAGGGATTTATTTTAATAGGATAATACACAACAAATATTTGTTACAGATATATCCACTAATTCCGGAAGTTTTTATTCATGTGTGTAAAATTATTTTAGCAGAAAACACTTTCAATTGGTATAAATGGTTGATACACTCTGTAAACGCACGTTACAATCTTAAAATCTGTTGAATTTAAGGAAATAATGTACATATAAATAAATAAATATTTGTGATAATTCTGAGCGATAGTGTCTCATTTCTTGGGAAATTTGGGCAGTAAGGATTATAAGTACGTTTACCATACGCATACGTTCACCAAACGAGTCGACCAAAAGGGAATAAATGTTAAGCATTATACAGGGTGGTTAAAATGTCACGCTACAATGGAAAATTTTTCGATGGGAAAAATCCATAAATTTCCATTAGTTACCGAAATTTTGTCTCTAAAATGCAACATTTTAAGAATTTTGTCATCAGTTTTGATAATAATTTATAAAAATCTCAATCCCAAATCTTGTAACTAATGGAGATTTAGGGACTTTTCCCATTGAAAAATTTTCCATTGTGGCTTGCATAGCTGGAAAATCTTACAAGATTTTTGAAGTGTACTACTAACACTTCGCTAGTGTACTAGCAGGAAAAAAGTTCGTTTTTGCTAAAATTGAAATTTGACGCAAAAGTAAGAAACAATGAACCTCGAAACGGCGGTTCCTTGAAATACGTCTACAGTTACCCCTAATGGCAACATACTTTGGACTGATCTTCCCGCTTATGGTCACAACCGAATGGTTCTACTAATTTTCAAAGCCCGTGAAATTCGGTAGGACAATGGATACAAAAATAAATCCCGAAGATAAAGAGGCGGGGTAAGCATCGACGAAGCATGGCTTTATCTTCATGATTCCTCCAAAGATATACTACACTATGAATCAGCAGGAACCTGAGCAGTGGTGCGGGAAGCTTGGAAAAATTTTTGTGAAGATTATGATGGTTGCGGCAATGATCATAGCTCCACCCTATCAGTGAGATATAGTATAATCTGGAAATAAGCACACTCGATTAACTCATCTTCAACTTTCATAACCTTGTCTTTTATTATTTGATTCCTTTCATGCCTTTTAAGTTCTTCAAGTTATGTACGTATAACCGAGCAAAAATTATCCCCGTCTCTATTTTTTGACGGTTTGCAACTGTAGCCGAATCTGTGCTGGCTTTTGGGTCGACTGTAAATAAAGCAACTTTGGTCTGCTTGCTAGGACGTGGTCAAGTCCATTTTTATTTTCATCCGTGCAGATAATCCATGTCACAAGGATTGGTAGAAAGCAAAAAAAACAATTGAAAAAGCTTCAAAATGCTCCAGTCCGACATATAGTTCATTAAAATTGTTGGGAATTTCCCTTAATACTACAATATTTATTTTTGGTTGGATTTTGTACACTGTATTTTCCTTATGCTAATATTTTATATATAAATATAAGCACTTTGCTTTACAGTGTCCCACAAACTACAATAATTTAATTACTCAGATCAAAGTGGACAAACCCGACGAGTCGAACGCAGTTAACTTAGATGTTTTTATATTATGAAGTTTTTTTTACTACAATACGCGCTTTTTCCAAACAAATTATTTACCTCGTATTTATACTCGTCATTTCAATTTTATTTTGATTTCACGATAGATTTCACGTTATTTTAAATTTTGGAACGTATAGTTGATCGTAATTCATTTCACAATTATTTCATTTTGTTGATAGAATTGGAAATTGAAATCCCGAGTTTGGAAGGAATCTCAATCCTAAACTACGGTTCGGAAAGCCAAAGTAATAATAAATGAATAAAACCTCCGATGCACTGTGTAACAAGTAAAAATACAATACACAAACCATACAGGGCATCCTCGACCATAGTTAGAGTTGACTATAAAGAAATTAACGCTGTTTTCATTTTTCAAAAGTTGAAACACTTTCAACTTTGGAAAATGGAGTGAAAACTAAACCAAACTTAAAGCAAAATGAATGCCACTATAAACTTCCATTTGCTGTTGGCCTAGCGTTAATTTTTCGTGAAAGTAAAATAAATCCGAAGACACATAAACTGTGAAAATTAAATCAAAACATGGCTAGAATGAAGAGTACGAAATAGGCCTTAAGAGGATCATCCAATAATGTAGACAATTTTGCCTGAGGGCTTTCGTTGGTATCAAACTATTCAAATGTTTATATAGTAAACCGTCAAATAAATAGTTTGAAATTGAAATGGTACAGTAGAAAAAAGAGTAATTCATCAATCGAGACGCAGAATTTTTATTGACTCCTCATTTTGTTAACCTCTTTCGCACAACTGATTTTTAAATAAAATTTCCGTTCGGCACGATGCTGAATTCATATATACATCTGCTATGGATTTGTATACATACAAAAGTGGATGCCAGTATCGCTAATATTAATTGAAGCGACTTATCTATCGTTGCATCTCACAAACTAGGAATTAAATCCAGCACAAAGAAAAGTTACAAAAGAAAAGCACAATAGCGGGAACGGTGAACTGAGAGGACGCAAAAATTTCCATTCTCCCTACTGTAGTTATTTAATTTATTGAAATTACTGAAGTAACTACGTTGTTTACTACAATTATCACTTAAATATTTTCCTTCGAACTCTCCTGCATACAATTAAAGACAAAACTTTAGTTGGTCGTCACGTCGGTCCCAGTCCTGACCGTGTTTGGCAGCAAATTAAATTGCAAGCAATTGAGTGGGTCTGGACTGGGCTAATATTCAGGCAAGAACTTTGTCACTCAAAATCTCTTTGGACAGTTAACAACAAATCGTAACAATTTTCCTTATATTGCTATGTCTGGAATAACGGAGGACACGTTAAGGCGAGTGGTGGAAGAAGTCGTGAATAAGGCGAACGACAAATTACTGGAGGAGGTTCGATCGCTGACTCAGGAGGTGTCAAAAATTAAAGCTAAGACGGACAACTTAGAAAAGAGGATTGACGGGGTCGAGGCTGACGTGGTACGTGAGATGGCGGCTGTCCGTGAGGAACTTAAGGAACAACAGCAACGTGTGATAAGGATGTCGAATCTAGTCTTGATGGGAGTCCCTGAATCTGGCGAGGGCCTTAAGTTAGCAGTAAAATTAATGGGTGTCATTTATCCTACCTGGACAGGTCCATTAATTGATAACAGAATTGGTGTCCCGAATAAGAAGGGGCCAAGGCCGTTACGGATTCCCCTTCCGTCTGCGTCTGAGAGAGCAAAAGCACTTAGGGAGTGCGTTAAACTTAAGGAACACCGTGAGTTTGATAAGATATCGGTCAGAAGGGATTTGACAAAGATTCAGCAGCAAGAAATTCAACTGAGGTCACCAGTTGGAACAAGGTCGGCAAAGAAAAGGAAGCGTCAGCAGACTGGTGAAGACAACTCGAGTAAAAAACATATGACTGGTATTGACGATATGGATCTCGGATCTACTCAATGATTAAAGGGGGCGATCGGACATGGCTCATCCCGGCAAATCACACTTGGGCACCAAAATGTTCGATCGTATCGGGACAAATTTCATAACATTATTCAACTCATTTCTTGTTTTAATCTTGATATATTATGTTTATCAGAAACTTTGTTCAAAAGTGATACTGAATACTGCATTCCGAGAGATTACAGTTTATACAGAGAGGACAGACCGACCAGAGGAGGAGGCGTAGCGGTGTTGCTTCACAAAAAATTTAGTGCTTATCGAGTAATTGTAAAAGATGTAGAGTGGTTCAGTGATTCAACTATGGAATACATATGTGTATCTGTGCAACAAGGTCACCATAAATCGTTTGTAATATGTTGTGTTTATATTCCAGAACCGAAGGCGAATGATTTAGAAAATTTTGATCTATTATTGTGTTACTTGTTAAAATCGAAAAAGGATGTGTTTATTCTTGGACATCTTAATATAAACTTGTTGGAACAGAGTAAGTTAACCAAAAAATTTGTCGACACTCTTCGCAGACACTCGTTGTTGCAAATTGTAAAGTCACCAACCAGAGAGGATAATTTATTAGATGTGATAATTATTCATAAAAGCCAGTCTGTAAATATTGCGTTATGTGAAGTATCTGACCAAGTTATATCGGACCATCGTTTTAGTTATTGTAAGTACATTTTTCCTAGTAAAGTGGTTGAAAGGGAGAAGCGTGTCAATGCACGTAATTTTGATAAAATTAATTATGAGAGTTTTGTAAATATGTTAAGTAATGATGAACTGTACTGTGATGATAATTTAGCTGAAAAATTTATTAATGTAATGACAATTGTGTTTGACTTAGAGGCTCCGTTTGTGGAAAAGAAAGTTCGCGAGGGAAAGTTATTATTTGTTTCTGGTCATACAAAGAGTTTGATAATTGAGAGGAATAATTTATATAAGGAATGGAGGGTGAATAATTCTAGTTATGTACATCAGAAATATAGATTTGTTGAAAAACAGATCAGATCAAGTATTAAGAGAGATATGAAGATGTACACTTCAAAAATGCTAGGAAAAGTTGGTGTTTGGAAAACTTTGAAGAATCTTGGGTTGACGTTTGGTAAAGTGCAGGGACAAATTGGGCCAGATATAGATCTCGATGAAATTAATAATTACTATTGTACGATGGGTTTTCCCCCTGGGAAAGCACATCTTGACTCTTTATCTAGTAACCCTACAGTATTATATAATGATGACGTGTATTTTAAAGTTAAATCTGTTTTCATGTATGAATTATTGCAGGCATGGAAGGGGATGAAAGATAAGAATAACAGAGCTGACGACACTACTGGTATATCCAAATTCATGTTAAAGTTAGTTATGCCAATTCCTTCTGTTCAACAAGCTGTGTTAAATGTTATAAATGAATCATTTAGTTCTGGTGTAATTCCCGATATCATTAAATACTCCAGGATTGTACCGATTCCCAAAATATCCTACGCCACACAACCGTCTGACTTTCGCCCTATTGCTGTAAATGCGAATCTGATGCTTATCATGGAAAGGATTTACAGTAGTAGATTGGAGAAATATATTTACTCTAATAAGTTCCTTTCAAAATATCAATTTGGCTTTCGGAAAGGTCACAGCACCGAGCAGTTGATTCTAGCAATGAGTGATTTGGTTAAAATAAATGTTGATAAGGGGTTAATTTGTGCTATGATAAGTATTGACTATGCCAAAGCATTCGATTCTTTGCCCAGAGAAAAACTCTTATATAAA